CACATAGTGGGGATAGATGTCGCCCAATAGAGCTGGGGAAACATTCTTCCTGGCGCTCCTGCTGTGAAGAACTTGGCCGCCAGTGTGGGACGTCGCCCATCTTGGATTTTATGTAAATTATCAAAGCACCAAATTTTATGTCAAGATATAGTGTTTTTATTATGCTGTTGCTTGTATGCATATTTTAACTTCGGCATGGCCGCTTGTTAGCCGCCTCGAGCTGTATATTGGATGGGGCGGGATATAAATCCCAAAAATAAATAAATAAAAATAAATAAAATAATCCTCAGTTCCAGAAACCCTGAAAGATGGCTGACCAAATCCAGACATTCCCGGTAGGCATTCAGTGGCTTCAATATTAAGATGTTAAAAAGTTCAGATGTTACTTCCTAGGGCCTTTTCCACCCCCCTATGATGACAATATAACGGGGGGGCGGCAGCCCCTACTCGAAAGCCTGGCGGAAGAGCTCCGTCTTGCAGGCCCTGCGGAACTGCATCAAATCCCTGCGTCAAAATGGTAGACTTGCAATCCTGCTTGGGCCACACACTTATTAGATTAAGAAACAGTTATTCTGCAAGCTCCTGGAAGGGGCTTTCATAAGACTTCCTGCTCAGTCACATGATCACTGCTTTTGTTGTATTAAGGACAATGGCATCATAACAGCCTCTGGAATTTTATTTACATTTTCATTTTAAGGAATTCAAGAAGAGGGGCCAGGCTGCAACTTTTCATGCTACACTCCAGAATATCTGCTAATTAAAGGACTCAAGGAAGATACATGTAAAAACAATATTAAAGCCAGCTCAGACCTCATTCTCACACACTATGCAATGCTTGAAATCTATTCTTGAGGCCAGCTATTGGGACTGACAAGCACCTAAACTATTTGCAGTGAAACACAACAGTGAACAGCCATCAGAAAAGTTATCTCAGTGAACTAACTTCCACAATTCCTCTGCACACCTCTTCTGTAGCACACAATGGGAGAACAGAGCTTTAAGCATTTTTTAATGGTATTTAGTACCTTCCCTGCACGATGTCGGTACATCCAGTGGTCGTAACAAAAATGTTGCCTTCTTTGCAAGCCTCTTCCATTGTCGTAACTTCATAACCTGAAGGGGTAAAGGAAATGTGCAATATTCCATGTGTCTCTTTGCACATTTGTGCTTCTGTGCACATGCCTAAGATAATGCAATATTCATACCAAACTTATATACTAACCAGGGAAATCAGGATCAGTTGACATGATCAGTTCCCTTATATAATGTGTGAAGTGGCCCTATGAAACTCATGTGCTTTTTCTCAAACATACACATATACATACACTCACACAATATATATGATATTGTGTTCTTTACATTTCATTGATTCGACTTTATCCTGTGTTTTGGGCTCATTTATTTAGATACTTACACTATTTAACGATTGCCTTGCACTATCACTGGACCTTAAGTAAGGCTCATATCTTCTCATCTATCAGCATCTATCATCTATCAACATCTATATAACACTTAACTTCTTCTAACTGCTGAAAATGACAAACTGACACTTGAGATGAGAGCCGGCACAGAATGGACTTTTCAAAAAACTTGGAAGAGATTCTATGATTGGTATAATGTAAACACAACTGATAGATAAATGTAGTAATTTGAAAATGCAGAAAAGATAAGTTTAGTAAAATAGATAATGAATTTAGAAATTTAATAAGCAGAAGAAGTGATAAAAGTCTCTTGTTACATGTTATATATTGTTGGGGGTAGTTGGGTGTTTGTATGTATGCCTGTAGTATATAATGAAAAATAATAAAAGTGTACCCTTGGGTACTTAAAAAACTAAAAAAACTTCTTCTAACTGCGATCACGTGATTTTATCTCTACAGCCCTGTAAGGTAAACTAAGCTGAGACAGTGCTGTAGAGAACCTATGTGTGCTTATAATGCTTTCACAGGCAAGCATGGAACCAGTTCCACACTGTAGTAAGAATGGGAATATAAAGATTTTCATATATCGGTTTTTCCTTCTTGATTGTTCATATTCATATTTCTCTGGTTTTTATAGATTTATTCTTTAAGTAATATTTTATTAGGATGTTAGAAAGGCCTGTTATATAGAAGGCTTTCCTCTTGCAGGTCTGATATTGCTAGCAAGCAACATAATGGGTACAAAGTTCATGATTCTGTAGTTCTTAGGGCAAACCTTTCAATGTCTGGGTCAGATAAGATTTTAGTCTCGTATCAGTAATGAATACTTTTGTTTGGGGAAGAACAAGCTTTAGCTGATATGCCTTAGGTTATGTCAAGTAAATATGTGACGCTATTGCATAGGCACACCTTTCTTACATTTGACCAATAAGGAGATTTTCATGTAAATGTTGTTTATGTTTTTGTAACCAATTATGCCTTTTGGATATTATTCCCATGATGATGGTATGATGACGTCATTTTAAGTATTTAACTTTATGTATTTCCTGAATCTGTTCAGAATATGCTCAAGAAGAAGATGAAGAAGAAAAAGAAGAAAGTTGTCAATTTTTGGTTAACTATTTGGTCTAATTGTTTTCCTATTAATTGAGGCATGTTTCCTGATTATGCTGAAAAGAAAGCAATCAATTTTGATGGGTCCTTTGGCCTGTTTTCCATATTTCATTACAATAAAATACAAGAACTTCCTCCTCATTTGACTTCATTTTTGACATGGAATCTAATGTCTACAACAACACTGGGGATATCAGAAACCAACTTCCTTTCAGCATATGCAGAGTGCCTTGCTATCACCATCAAGTTACACCTTCTTCCTATGTACTAAGGACTAAAAACCAGGCTTTCAGGACCTAATATCCTGGATGTGCATATTTGCTGCACATTTCGTTTGACCCTTTGCTTTCAATCCAGGTCACAGTACTAAAAGGAAAGCCAGAGGGATGCAGTGCACACTTTCTTGTCTCTCCACCAAGCTCCCTATGACCACCTAAAGCAGTCACTTTAGCAAATGCAGACTTCTGGTTCTCACCTTCCATGGCTGCTTGCAGTGCGTTGATGGGATCGATTTCTGTGATGATGACCCTGGCACCAAAGTTTCTCAGAGCTTGAGCGCAGCCCTTGCCAACGTCGCCATAGCCTGCCACAACAGCCACTTTCCCTGCAATCATGACATCTGTGGCACGCTTTATGCCATCGATAAGGGATTCTCTGCACCCGTAAAGGTTATCAAACTTACTCTAGAGAGGAAAACAGGATTTTGAGGAAATTGGAGCACTCTCTCTAAATAGTCAATATTATGAGTATTTTCTGAAAGGCAATGTCAAAATGCTGCCAGTAGACTAAGAGTTTGAGCCAATCAGCTTTTCCACTGGTGAGAAAGGAAGGAAGGATCCTATTTGACACAGAAGCTATGCTTGGGATCACAGGACCTGCCTGGACAAAAGCCATATGGGACAGAGACTGTACAGTGAGGAGAATTAAGTGAGATTAATGCAAAAGCTGGCTGGATCCAGCTCTAAATTCCCAATCTGGGCAGTTAAAGGGGTTCTATAAGTTAATAGTATGCTACATTCTTAACAAAAATGTAGAGAAGTTATTCAAATCACAGATACCTACTCAGAACTACTTATACTTTCCAGAGGAAACTTACAAATGCCTTATAAGAATCTGGTACAATGCTATACTCTGTTGGCCTGGGCCCAAGAAATTGAGGTGTGCAGAGCAAGGAAGGAATGTGGCTTTTTCAATACCAATTTCTAATGGTAAAAGCAGGCAAGCCTTTTTCTGCCCAAAGCATGGAACTTCGTCAGTTCTAATTTAAATTAACATTCACAAATTTGAGTTTGACAAACAAGTTGAACAACAAGTCTTGCTCTCTGCAAATAACCACATAAATATGGCCTCACATTCAAGTCCACAGGATTGGTGCCAAGCAAGTGGGGGGAGGGGGGAGAAACCACAGCATTCTCATACCACTGCAGTTTATTTCTCAGGCTACAGAAGGTGAGTAGAAAGAACGCTGAATCTGAATATGAGGCTACAGCTGCAATACGAACAGACAGAATTTGAGGCAACAACAGCATATAGAACTCTTAAGTCTCCAAAACTACACTGGAATTTAAAATCTGTATTTTGATACCATACTCCAGGGGTCCTCAGTCTTATTTTCTGGTGGGCACTTTTGGAATTTTGAGAAAGTCTACCGGGTGCCTCCATGAAATTGCTGCTATGGGCAGCAATCACAAAATGTTGGGGACAGCTATATCCAAATGGGTGCTCCCTGCAGAACAGAAGGTGATACCTTTTCTGAAGCACCTCCTGCTTCAATTAGGTGGAAGAAAGCAAAGGTTGGCTCTTTGCTTTGGGGAAGAAGCCCGTGGGCACTAGGAAGCACATCAGTGGATAATATGGTATTCCACAGGCACCACATAGGGGTATCACTGCTGCAGACAGTTTTCCGTCATGATCTCACATCCTCACAAAATGCAACATTTGTAGGGAGAACAGATCCTGTTATATGGGCAGACAACTAGACAGAGGGAAAGAATGAAGAATTTAATGCCTTACTTTGGTAACAGAGTCATTAACATTGATAGCTGGCAACTTCAGAGTCCCACCGGTATGCATTTTATAGAGGTTATGGACCCCAGTAGTAGTCTCCTCAGAGACTCCTCGGATTCCTGCAAGAAAGAATTCAACAGATCATCTAGTGTGAAATATCGTAACCATAAACCCTGAAGTTTAATGCAAACATTCCTAAGTAAGTTCCTTTAGAAGAATTCCTTGGTGACGTGAAAAGAGTTGTCTGGCCTTGACGTTTGATGAAACCTAAAGTACTTCCATTTGTTTCTGAGTGCTCCTCTCAGGGCAAGCCGTTTAAACAGAGGACTTCAAAGTATAAGGTCCAAGGGCAGAAAAATTCCCCAGGAACTTACAAGGGAGGGGAGTAGCAGAGGAAGCAACCAATACCATTAGCTGAGAACATGAATCACAGATTCCACACCCACACCCAGTAGACTTGTAGACTGCCAAACAAAAAGTGCTTAACTACTGGTTGATTGCAAAAGTACAATCAGGATTAGAGACATCAGGGGTGCTGAGAATGATTCACACATGTACAGGGCTACCAAGAGAAGCAGGAGAAGGTTAGGGGGTCCCATGAAGCCACACATCAGATTATTTGTTTTCACATATGATTGAGTTATATCTTGATGGTATGAGAAGGACCTAGAGAGTTTTTTCCCGTCTGTGGGCCTGTAGGGTCTCTCAGCAGCCCAGCAACTGCATTGCTGAGGTGGTACAGCCTTTGTTCTATCTTGTAAAGGAAGGCATTAATCTGAAATCACCTGAAATACCAGCACTATGTAGCTTACTATGGCAAAGACAGAAAACGGGGAGGGGAGTCGTATGGAAAAGGAGCACTACCAAAGCTCAATGCATGCTACAGTATGTGCAGATGGGAGAGGCATGAATTACTGCCAGTTCCACAGACATACTGAAATGCCGTTTCAAGCCTGTGAAAGAAAATTTATGGGACCTAATTTAATCGAGAAGAGCAGCTTTCCAGACAGACTTCGAGCATGTCCCAAGTTTACAATTATACTGCTGGGAAAATGTTAGAGACTACCCATCATGCTTCTTCAAATTCACAAAATAAAAGCTTGGAATGTATATTGCTGTGGTGTATTCAATAGCTGTCATTGAATGCCTAAACATGTGTGCGAAACACCTCATAGAAATGTAATGTTAAGCTTCGCCCTGGGCTAGGATCCAAATACATCCAATCGCATGGCTAGCCCAGGAAGAACCAACCAATCGCATATCAGCAAGCTCCCTGAGTGGGAACGTCGATGATTGGTCCTTATGTAAACAATCTCATTGGTTGGTAATGTACAGTAAAGGCGTGGCTATATTAGCCGGGAGAGTTTAAAAAGGGAACAGCTTTAGCATTAAAGCTGTCAGATGTTGATCCGTGTTGGAGTTGTGTTTGAGTTGCTGAATAAAGCTGAATCTTTGCTGAATCACTCTCCGACTGCTTTGTTAAGGGAGCGACTTAACAACTGCCTTCCACAATTACTTTACAGAGCACTTCTTTCATAGGAGCAATGCTTTTTCCTCTCATGGATCATGATGTCAGATCGACCTTGTGCTTGGGAATTGGGAGAGAGGAAGGAATATTAAGACAGGAATCCCACATGGGGAGGTTGAAAGGGGAGACTGCTTAGCTTGTACCGGCGGTTTCACACTCCCCAGGCATCTGGTTTCCTACCACAGTAAAAATAAAACTTCAAACACAATTAAATTTTCACCAGAACTTTTTTTAAAGAAGACTGTACATGGAGATTATGAGTTGCACCCAATGAACTGTGAACAAAATTTACAATAGAGAACTTTTATGTTTCTGCTACAGACCATTACACCCTCCTTTCTGAAATGTTGCTCCTGGGGTTCAGAGGACCTCGGTGAACAAAACTGGGAGATACATGGGAGTCTGTGGTGGGAGATGGTAAAACAATTGTAAAAAAAACCCCACACTCCTTCATTCACAGATAATGTACCCATTGAGTTGGATACAACCCTACGTTTTCATTCCAAGCATTGCCAAATAAAAAAAATAAGGGAATGACAGAAAGTGGCAGCTGTCTTATACAAAGTAGTGGTCAACTGCAACCAAACCACACAAACCATGAGTTCCAAAATGGCGCAAACACAGTGCATCAGCATAAAGGGCCAGTATGTCATGTTCCAAAGTCAGATCCAGGTTTCAGAATAGGTTTGTTAATAGCCTACCACAGATCTGGATCTGTTGTTGCCAGATCCATTTACAGAGGGCTTACAGTACAAAAGAGCAAGAGTCCAATAGTACCTTAAAGACTAACAAAATATGTGGCAGGATATGAGCTTTAAGAGGAAGTCCTTCTTCACCCAAAGAGTGATTAACACTTGGAATTCACTGCCACAGGAAGTGGTGGGTGCTACAAGCATGGATGGCTTCAAAAGGGAATTAGATAAGCATATGGAGCAGAGGTCCATCAGTGGCTATTAGCCACAAGGTATAGCTAGGGGCTCTGGGGCAAGTGATGCTCTGTCTTCTTGGTGCTTGGGGGGGTCAACAGTGGGAGGGCTTCTAATGTCCTGGCCCCACTGGTGGACCTCCTGATGGCACTGGTATTTCTGGCCACTGTGTGACACAGAGTGTTGGACTGGATGGGCCTTTGGCCTGATCCAACATTGGCGTCTCTTATGTTCTTATGTTCTTAATGTTCTGAAAGGTTAAAAATACTGATTTTGCAGACCAAAATTTTAAAACTGACCAAATACTGACAAAAAAACTTACGAATTATTGAACAATTTAATGTCAGCCTATTGGTAAGTTAGGTGGCCACAGTGTCTCAGAGGTTAAGACGCTGAGCAGTTTGAGACCTTAGTGCCGCGTTACGGAGTGAACTCCTGTCTCTGGCTCCAGCTCCTGCCAACCTAGCAGTTCGAAAACAAGAAATTTCAAGTAGATAAATAGGTACCACTTTGGTGGGAAGGAAACAGTGTTCCATGTGCCTCAGCATTTAGACACGCCGGGCACATGACCACGGAAATGTCTTTGGATAGCACTGGCTCTTCGGGTTGGAAACGGAGATGAGCACTGCATCCCTAGAGTCTGGTTTGACTGGCTTTCGAGCAAGGGAAACCTTTACCTTTTATTGATAAATTAGCCTTTTAAAAGTAAAACCAGGACTTCATTAAAAATTATTATTATCTGGCCTCCGCCATCCCCATAGCCAGCCATTGCACACCTTTTTATTGATTTTTAAAAATGAAGATAGGACAATGTTTTCATTATTGTACAAAATTTAGGGCAAAAACAGATTCC